GCAGTGCCTTGTAGTTCCTTTCACTTGAAATGCCTTGTAGTGCCTTGCAGTGTTATGGAGTTCCTTGTAGTGTCTTGCAGCACTTTTCAGTGCCTTACAGTGCCTTGCAGTGACCTGGGTGGGTGTGGTCAAGTGGGTTGCGCTTGGTGAAGATCTTACACAATACTTGCGGGTGTGTGGTGGTTCAACTGGCAGCGCTGGTAATGGTTTCAGCTCAGTGGTCGCGACCTCCTGGAATCTGGTGGCGAGTTCTTCACATACTTCTCTCTTCCCCGTCCCTCTGAATAGTGAGGGAGAGGGGGAGTAGGAGAAGGCAGATGGGGGAGGCTAGGAGGGAGGGGGGATAAGAAGGAAAGTGAGAGAGAGAGAGAGAATGAGAGAGACATTCCTCCTTTCTACTGCCTGTCTCCCCTTCAATTCCTCCCCCTCCCGTCAACCCCCCCTTCCATCTACCCCCCTCACCCATCCCTTCCCTTTGCCCCTCCTCCCCTACCCCTTTCCCTTTGCCCCTCCTCCCCTACCCCTTCCCTTTGCCCCTCCTCCCCTGCCACTACCCCCTCAACCACATCTCTGCCAATAAATCTTGAATTTTTCTATCGTTATCGCATAATTACCAAAGTGTTGCAACCTTCCGTGTATTTTGTGTCAGGAAGAGGAGGAGATAGAAGAGGAGGATAGGAAGATTAGAAAAAGGAGGACGGGAGGAGGAAGAAGAAGAGGAGGAGTAGGAGGAGAGAGAGAGAGAGAGAGAGAGGAGAGAGAGAGAGAGAGAGAGAGAGAGAGAGAGAGAGAGAGAGAGAGAGAGAGAGAAGAAAGAGAGAGGGTGACCTCAGTTAGCAAGGCTCAACAATAGAGGGCGTGGAGACTGCTTACGTTAAATACAGCACGTTTTATAATATTAAGCAGATGGTACAACACCAGCTGTTATTATGACGTTACCAGATGGTACACCAACTGTTATTGTGACGTCACTAGATGGTACACCAGTTGTTATTGTGACGTCGCAAGATGGTACACCACCAGCTGTTATTGTGGCGTCACAAGATGGTACAGCAGCTGTTATTGTGATGTCACAAGATGGTACAGCACCAGCTGTTATTGTGACGTCACAAGATGGTACAGCAGCTGTTATTGTGACGTCACAAGATGGTACACCACCAGCTGTTATTGTGACGTCACAAGATGGTACAGCAGCTGTTATTGTGATGTCACAAGATGGTACACCACCAGCTGTTATTGTGACGTCACAAGATGGTACAGCAGCTGTTATTGTGACGTCACAAGATGGTACAGCAGCTGTTATTATGATGTCACAAGATGGTACAGCACCAGCTGTTATTGTGGCGTCACAAGATGGTACACCACCAGCTGTTATTGTGATGTCACAAGATGGTACACCACCAGCTGTTATTGTGACGTCACAAGATGGTACACCACCAGCTGTTATTGTGACGTCGCAAGATGGTACACCACCAGCTGTTATTGTGACGTCGCAAGATGGTACACCACCAGCTGTTATTGTGACGTCACAAGATGGTATAGAAGCTGTTATTGTGACGTCACAAGATGGTACACCACCAGCTGTTATTGTGACGTAACAAGATGGTACACCAGCTGTTATTGTGACGTCACAAGATGGTACACCACCAGCTGTTATTGTGACGCCACAAGATGGTACACCAGCTGTTATTGTGACGCCACAAGATGGTACACCAGCTGTTATTGTGACGTCACAAGATGGTATACCACCAGCTGTTATTGTGACGTCACAAGATGGTACACCACCAGCTGTTATTGTGACGTTACAAGATGGTACACCACCAGCTGTTATTGTGACGTCACAAGATGGTACACCACCAGCTGTTATTGTGACGTCCCAAGATGGTACACCACCAGCTGTTATTGTGACGTCCCAAGATGGTACACCACCAGCTGGTGTACAGATAAACGTGTACACATGAACGTTAACAGCTGGTGTACAGATGAACGTGGGCGCGGGTGGGCTGGCGCCTCTGTGGCGGGCGTCAGTGTGAGGTTATGGCGGCGCCCACACCACGCCCACATTACAACCTACACTCCACCCACTACCCACCCACAACCCACTCCCCACCCACAGCTCCGCCCACACCACAACCTACACTCCACCCATAACCCACTCCCCACCCACAGCTCCGCCCACACCACAACCTACACTCCACCCACAGCTCCGCCCACACCACAACCTATACTCCACCCACAGCTCCGCCCACACCACAACCTACACTCCGCCCACACCACAACCTACACTCCACCCACAGCTCGCCCACACCACAACCTACACTCCGCCCACACCACAACCTACACTCCACCCACAACTCCCTCCCCACCACAAACTACACCTCACCCACAACCCACTCCCCACTCAACACCGCCCACACCACAACCTACACTCCACCCACAACCCACTCGCCATCCACAACTCTGCCTACACCACAACCTACACCTCACCCACAACCCACTCCCCACCCACAACCCGCCCACACCACAACCTACACCTCACCCACAACCACTCCACACCACAACTCCGCCCACACCACAGCCTACACTCCACCCACAACCCACTCCCCACCCACAACTCCGCCCACACCACAACCTACACCTCACCCACAACCACTCCACACCCACAACTCCGCCCACACCACAGCCTACACTCCACCCACAACCCACTCCCACCCACAACTCCGCCCACACCACAACCTACACCTCACCCACAACCACTCCACACCCACAACTCCGCCCACACCACAGCCTACACTCCACCCACAACCCACTCCCCACCCACGACTCCGCCCACTCCTCACCTCTTCCTCTATTTCATTAATATATATTGATCATATTTACGTTGATAATAATAATAATAATAATAATAATAATAATAATAATAATAAATAACATGTTACAACACCCGGACATAAATAAGAATATAGAGATGTTAAGATATATCTGTGAAACATAGTTGGTCCTCCAAGACCCAAACATCACCTCAAAGTTGACCTCAGTTTGTGGGCTAATTGAGAGTACCAGAACGAGGACGAGAACCAAGACAAGGAGATCTTAGAGAGCTGACTACTGAAGTGTACAAAGTGTGCATGAAATATGTACCACTTAGAAACGCGAAATATCAAGTGATTCAAGGGAGTATATCTGGAGTATACCTGGAGAAGGTTTCAGGGGTCAACGCCCCCCCCCCCCGGGCCCGGTCTGAGACCAGGCCGCGGAGGGTAGAAGAATAATTGAAGGGAGAGTAGAAGAATAATTGAAGGGAGAGTAGAAGAATAATTCAAGGGAGAGTAGAAGAATAATTCAAGGGAGAGTAGAAGTATAATTCAAGGGAGAGTAGAAGAATAATTCAAGGGAGAGTGGAAGAATAATTCAAGGAAGAGTAGAAGAATAATTGAAGGGAGAGTAGAAGAATAATTCAAGGGAGAGTAGAAGAATAATTCAAGGAAGAGTAGAAGAATAATTCAAGGGAGAGTAGAAGAATAATTCAAGGGAGAGTAGAAGAATAATTCAAGGAAGAGTAGAAGAATAATTCAAGGGAGAGTAGAAGAATAATTCAAGGGAGAGAAGAATAATTCAAGGAAGAGTAGAATAATTCAAGGGAGAGTAGAAGAATAATTCAAGGGAGAGTAGAAGAATAATTCAAGGAAGAGTAGAAGAATAATTCAAGGAAGAGTAGAAGAATAATTCAAGGGAGAGTAGAGGAATAATTCAAGGGAGAGTAGAAGAATAATTCAAGGAAGAGTAGAAGAATAATTCAAGGGAGAGTAGAAGAATAATTCAAGGGAGAGTAGAAGAATAATTCAAGGGAGAGCAGAATAATAATTCAAGGGAGAGTAGAAGAATAATTCAAGGGAGAGTAGAAGAATAATTCAAGGGAGAGCAGAATAATAATTCAAGGGAGAGTAGAATAATAATTGTAATAAAGTTGGTAGAATTACCGACAATATGTAAAGTAAAAGGACACAAGTGCAACTAATGTGACATTTATTGTGGCAACGTTTCGCTCTCCAGGAGCTTTATCAAGAGCGAAACGTTGCCACAATAAATGTCACATTAGTTGCACTTGTGTCCTTTTACTTTACAGAATAATAATTGAAGGGAGAGTAGAATAATAATTGAAGGGAGAGTAGAATAATAATTGAAGGGAGAGTAGAATAATAATTCAAGGGAGAGTAGGCTTTGTAGAAGACGAAAACAGTCTTACTGAAGCACTTTACAGTGAGAGTATGTCACCATGAAGAAAATCTAATCTTAGCCGAGATTAGATTTAGATTTTGCCACCGAAGTGGCTAGTTTATTGTGCACCTCGTATCCATCATGTGGAGGGTAGCGAGAGAGCCTATAGATACACAAAAGGCCTAGGAACTAGGCCCCAAAAGGGTTAAGAGTACATCTGGATTTTAGATCTACGGCTGACTTAGCTATTGATAGGAAAACTAATCTTAGCTAAGAACTTACCGAGATAGAGGAAAAACTCTGGCCACCTGGCAGAAGAAAGCTTAACAGGCACTTAAGTTCCCCGTCTTCTAATATCACGTTCATTTTTCCACTATAATCTACCTTGTCCATAATTATTATCACATTTGCTCTGTTTCGTAAGGTGAAGTCCAGGATCTTTCCTTAATTCATGGTATAACTTAACAAATCTTGATGGCAATTGTGTTATAACAAATTACTAAACAAATTACTCTAATAGATTACTAAATGCTGGGAGCAAGGGGCTAGTAAACTAGTCCCTTGCTCCCAGTATTTTAGTCGCCTCTTAAGACACTCGTGGCTTACGGAGGAAGAATTCTGTTCCACTTCCCTATAGTAATGTGTGTGTGTGATAGTTGTAATAATTTCTTAGAAGGTTGGTTATAGTAATATAATTTTGATAATTGTTATAATTTGTTGGAAAGTATAACAGTGCAATATAACAGTGATAACTAAGTAATTATTACGTTGTGTTGTTGCAGCGTGGAGGAGGAGTGGCCCTAGACACGACGGCACAGAATGGTCTAGTAGTGCGCATGTTAGGTGAGTATATCTCTCTTATTACGGGTTCTGTATAGGATGTAGTGGGTAAGCTTCCTACAAGTATCCTTCAGGTGGTTCCTGTATTCAGTGTACATGGTAGGAGCTGTGAACTTAATATTTCTTCTAAAACTCCTCTAGTTTTTACTGCTACGTAATTTATATGTTTGTAGTTTTATTAACGAACATACATAGAGGGAAGAGGATAAAGTTGGAGCCAGCCGTGGATACAGCGTTCATGGGGGGCAAGTGACTTCATTCCTGTTTGTTGTGAGAACTTGCTCTATACGTCAGTCGTACGAGGAATGAATGCTTGTTGAGGTGTACAGTTAGAGCGAGACTGGCGTTGCCTGCCCGTCATGCGATGTTATAGCTATCTTGTTGAGCCAGATGGTGCGGCTTGACAACACTGGCCATGTATAGAACAGAAAAACCAAAGACTTATCATCTCTCCGGTGTTGAAGACTCCGCTGATATGGGAGATCCAACCAGGCCAGGTGGAGGCGGAGATGTCAGTCAGTCAGTCATCAGTCGCGTTGCACAGACAAGCGTGTTCAGGAGTGAAAGAAGAGATGCAGGCCAGCAGTCAGGAAAAACGATACATACAACAAACTTGTACTTCGTACAGTTTTGCATCATCTGCTCCCGTACTAATACGAGATGTGCCTTACTGCTGTAAGTTCTTTTTTTTTTTTTGCCTTGCTTGCAACATTCACCAATGATTGTTGAAGGTCAACAGAGAGTTACATCCCACCCGCAGGGTATCAACTTCATCGCCGGGCTCTAAGACTTTCATTCATCCTCACCACAACTCCACTAGCAACATCATGCTATCTAGACTCCGTCATTATTTGCTGTTTTCTCAGAAGCAAATGTAAACTGCCACTGCTATAACTGCAAGATGGCGATTGATGTGTCTGAGGACGGTAAATGTCACTGTTATAATTAAATATTATATTGTAGACATGCGTAGACATGAGATACAAGGGTAAGATAACGTAAGACGTTGAGGTAGACATTTCATAGGACTGGACCCCACATATACCCCTGTGGCACGCTGGCATAGTTTGAGTGGCTTACAGATGCTATTCCACTAACAAGTGCAATAAATTATTATAAAAAAGAAGCGCTAAACCCACTAGGTTGATACAGCTCAAGTGCCCTAAAGGTTAGGTTAGGTAAGATTTGTCAGGAAACAGAACAAATGTTTCTTGACGCGGGTCTTAGTCATATGATGACCTGCCGCTGGTACTTTTGGTTATCATATCGAGGCCTTCCATTGGCTTACCCCTCCACCCCATTAAAAATTAAGATTAAATCTTATTTCTGTGCCCTAAAAGCAGTCAGCAAGTGTGAAAGAAACCGGAGAGTTCTAAGGCTGATAGTTTTGCCAGGAGTCTCCAGTGTTACAGTGTGTTAAAGCATGTGTCTTAGAGGCGATCCTAGCTGGCCAGGGCATCTCTGTTATCTTGGGTCTCCTTTGTTCTACCTCGGGATGTAAGGAGATGTATCTCATCCAGTTTTACTATCACCTCCGGCAACCTTGACACAGTTCTTGCAGCTAGCCGTGGAGGTCAACTATATGGGTCTAGGACTTACATCTTGGCTGCAGAATGGTCTGCAAGTAGGTCACCTTTGTTTTGATTGATGTCTACCTACCTGTTACTTGGAGAGTGTTCCGAGAGTCAACGCCTTTGCGGCCCGGTCCCAGACCAGACCTCCCGGTGGATAGTCTGATTAATCAGGTTGTTGGTGCTAATTGCATAAAGTCCAACATAAACACAACAGGCCGGCTGATCAGGTACTGACTTGAGAAACTTCATTATTTTGTGACCGTCTCCCATCTTTATATGGCATAGCGCTAGACTTCTATATGCTAACAAGCTTGTCTGTGGAACTACCTGCCTTGTACTGAACGTTAACCACCTCGCGACAGTGATGGGGGAAGTAAAGTTGATCTGAGAGCTTACATACAGCCATGGCTGTTTATTACCTATATTGTTACCTCATTGTAGCTATGGCAACACGGTTATACTCGTGGTTTCCCGTTTTCAATAATTTGTTCACCGTAGAATTTTTGAATTTCCAGTGGTTGTAGCATTTACTACATGTTTTAATTCGTTCCATTGGTTTACCACAGTGGTGAAGGCATTTACTTTGCTGTTAACATCGTGGAACAAGGTGTCGCACTCAGTGATACCAAGCTCCGACAAAGGGCTGGCCAGTTTTCTTTCTCTTCCCTTTAGTTTGGTTCGGTAGAGATTTGCAACATTTCGGTGCCTGGGTCTTTTCCAGTAGGTGACCCGGCCTTGGCTTCCCATTGGGGGATTGTCGTGACATAATAGGAAGAGGAGTTCCTCTTCATCTTCTGGGACACTTGGTGCCCCTAATCCTAGCTACAATCCCTGCCCTCACGGGGTTCGTAGGGAGAAACTAGGCAACTAGTCTGCCACTTTCCCCGTCCCACGGGGCTCGTAGGGAGAAACTAGGCAACTAGTTTGCCACTTTCCCCGTCCCGGGCTCGTAGGGATAAACTAGCAACAGTCTGCCACTTTCCCCGTCCCACGGGGCTCGTACGGAGAAACTAGGCAACTAGTCTGCCACTTTCCCCGTCCCACGGGGCTCGTAGGGAGAAACTAGGCAACTAGTTTGCCACTTTCCCCGTCCTACGGGGCTCGTAGGGAGAAACTAGGCAACTAGTTTGCCACTTTCCCCGTCCCACGGGGCTCGTAGGGAGTGGCAGATATTGTGGAGCAGCAGATGGTTGTTGTGCTCCAGTCACGTTGTGCGAAATGATTCTTCGCTTCGTTCTCCTGGAATTTTCAGTTTGATGGTGGTCTTTTGATCAGATGAGTCATCATATCCAATCGTCTTCGGGTCGATCACTCGCTACTGGATCGAGAAAGGATCTTTAGGCATCTCGAGTTTTTAGGTAAAAAAAAAACTGGAGCTAATGAAATTCTGACTGTGTGAGACGTTAATGAAGGTCACACAATAACAGTGTCGACAGTTGTGTTGCAGAGGAAGTAAGTCTATTTTGTGCACCAGGAAGTTGACTGGGTGTGCACGTTGCCAGAGAGGTCTGCATTTTGCATAGAGTAGAACAGTTGCAGGTCCTAGGGTTTATATATAGTCTGAAGACCGTTATTTCCTGGTATTGACGAATGACGGTATCAGTGAACTTAAGTACACAACTACCTTGCTTGTCTCCTCGCATCCATACCTGGAGTATAACTGGAGGATGTTCCAGGGGTCAGCGCCCCCGCTGCCCGGTCCATGACCAAGCCTTGCGGTGGATCAAGCTGTTTTAACAAATTTCTCCGAAGTTCTGTCGTCCAGAAGTGTTTCCCGGAAGGCGACCGTATCAGGACGATGAGTGTTCACAAAACCGAATGTTGATGGATTGGCTCCTCATATTTATGCTCAGCTTGAGTGGGCAGATGTGTAAGGTGGTCGCCCTTGAGGCAGCTAGGATACTTAGGCGTAGCCCTGTGGTGTTTTATAACACACAAAACCAGCTGCTGAGCTGGGACGTCAGTAGCCAGGTAGATGACGTACGCACCAGATCTGGAATCCTGTTAGTTTTTTTTAGGGATTCAGTGCTAAAAATTTCAGTGGACTTGTCTGCCCGGGATTGTTTTTGTTACGACAGGTATCCTGGTATCCTCTCTTGTGACAATATTTACACTTAGTGTCTCTCAAGCAGTTACTGTAGTGGTCTCCTGGGAGGAAGGTGATCTGCTCACCACACTTCTTACTTTATGCTGCTAATTCTGTAGTTAATCTCTTTGTGAGTGTAGCTGCTGACAATGATTGGGGCGCCTAGTAGCCTTGCAGGGGCGTACCTGGCAACAAACAGGGCCCCGGGACTTGCCACATTGTTGGACCCCCTGTCCCTCTCTACCGATACAAAATGCATCACATTTATAAGATGCACAGTGTACAGTCCGTACCTTGGTCCGGGTCTTCTCCCTGTGTTTACCCGGCATCACTATCCCCTGGACTGATGATTGCATACTTGTTGAGTACATCATGAAATATTGCAGACTAGTTAGAGAGAAGATATTATAAATATATATACCGTACTTGAGGGTCTGACCCTAAGTCTCAACACTGCCATAACACAGACCCTAAACACTGCCATAACAACAGACCAATGTGAGACATATGGGAGAAAATATAAAATAAATCCAGTGCTACGCAGGGGCGTCGTGGCACAGTAAGAGAACCAGCCACAGGTATATCAAAGGCATACTTCACTCTCTTTCTTCACACCTCTTTTTATTCACTCGTTTTAATATACACCTAATATCTTCTTCCAAACATGAATCTTCTGCCACAGTTCATTCAACATTCAACAATTTCTTCGAACCTTTGAATCTCACATGGACGGAGAAAATAATACGGAGTGAAATAGATCTGTATATCTCGGTCTCTAAGACCCTCTTCAGCATATGAATAGGTCTCTGGTTGACACCGAATTATACAGATTCTTTCAATTCCGTATTGTATTTTTCGTCTGTATGAAGTTTACCAGTTCACTGGTCACTGTTTACGACAGTGACCAGTGGCAAGTTATCGGTATGATTTGTTAATTTATTTAAAACTGTTCAAAACTATTTTTTATTTTCACAGGTTTCAAGAGAGGTATGAAAACACAGTTGTAATATATTTAAATTGCAAGACAAGCCACATGGGATGGGAATATTCAGCTCAAGTACTTTCACACGTCTCCGTGCGTCATCAGGAGCTATATGTTGCAAAAGTAGCAACAGAGGATATGAGGGGAAGTTGTCTCAGAGTGAGAGAAGCTGGCTGGCTAATGTCACCACTCCACCTCAGTCTGAGACAACTTCCCCTCATTTCCTCTGTTGCTACTCTTGCAACAGTGCATAGCTCCTGATGACGCACGGAGACGTGTGAAAGTACTTGAGCTGAAGAGTTCCATGCCCCGTAGCTTGTCTTACATTATTAAAATCTCATGTCTGCGAGTGTATAGCATA